ACCGTGTGTATCACTCGTTAAAATTTCTCAAATGTCAAAATCTGTCATCTGTCAAAAAAATGCACAGTTCTCTAATCGATAGATTTTTTTTTCTGATTTTAAAAATATAAGTCTCTTACATTATTAGGTAGTTAATTGTAGAATTGATTTAATCATATATTATATCACGAGAACTATGAATTTAATCGGTTAAACTAGGCTCAGTAGTTTTTTGTTTGCTTTTTCTTTGAAAATGTTGAATGAAAAATAATTTAATAAAATCACGAGACCGCGTAGCGATCGAGGGGTTTTATTTTTAATTATTTTGCATGAAACTAGTTTGACAGATTAAATTTATAGGTTGAGTGACATACGTCTAGATTATTTCCCGAATTAAAGAAAACTATTTGACAATTAATAAAATCTGACGTATATGTCAAAATTTATGAGCAATTTTTTAGTCAAAATTCCATTAATATAATGATATGTAATAATTAATAATTGATATTTCGTAAACTAGATAACTTATTTTTTATTGTTTTAAAAAAAAATGTATGTAAAAACTTAAAAATAACACCATAAAATCGTAAACAAAAATCCAATATGGAGGCTAAAATGTAATCGCTGTTAAACAGTGCTAGTGATTAAATCGCTTATCAAAACAAAATTTATTCGAAAATTCAAGGCTTTTGATTGGTTCATATTATAATGAGGTAAATAATCTCAGATAATCCACTACAAGATTATTTTTATTACGAGTATTATAGATGAATATGAAGTTAGCAAAGCATCCATCGCTAATCAAAAATCGATTAGATGAATAATTTGCCGTTAATTTGTCGTTAATTAGTTGTGAAAAAATTAATTTTGTCGTTCGAATATTTCTTTGTTTTTAAGGGTGCTTTGCTAACTTCATATGAAGTTAGCAAGGCACCCCCCTTAAATATCTGATAAAAAAAATTTAATAGTTAATATTTTGCCGTTAATTTGTCGCTAATTTGTTGTGAATAAATTAATTTTGTCGTTCGCATATTTCTTTGTTTTTATGGGTGCTTAGTTAACTTTATATGAAGTTAGCAAGGCAGCCCCCTTAAATTCATGATATTTTTTTTTTAATAGTTAATATTTTGCCGTTAATTTGTCGCTAATTAGTTGTGAATAAATTAAATTTGTCGTTCGCATATTTCTTTGTTTTTATGGGTGCTTTGTTAACTTCATATGAAGTTAGCAAGGCAGCCCTCTTAAATTCGTGATAATATTTTTTTTTAATTGTTAATATTTTGCCGTTAATTTGTCGCTAATTAGTTGTGAATAAATTAATTTCGTCGTTTAATAATTTTTTTTTCGGCTGCTTCGCTAACTTCATATGAAGTTAAAAATCTGATAAAAAAAATGTAATATTTAATATTTTGCCGTTAATTTGTCGCTAATTAGTTGTGAATAAATTAAATTTGTCGTTCGCATATTTCTTTGTTTTTATGGGTATTTTGTTAACTTCATATGAAGTTAGCAAGACAGCCCCCTTAAATATGTGATTATATTTTTTTTTAATTGTTAATATTTTTCCGTTAATTTGTCGCTAATTAGTTGTGAATAAATTAATTTTGTCGTTTGATTATTTTTTTTTTGTTTTTTTTTCGGCTGCTTTGCAAAGCACCCGCTCCACTTATTACAAAATATTAGCTATTCAATTTTTTTTTATCAGATATGAAGTTAGCAAAGCAGCCGAAAAAAACAAAAAAATTATCAAACGACAAAAATAATTTATTCACAACTAATTAGCGACAAATTAACGGCAAAATATTAACAATTAAAAAAATATATTATTACATATTTAAGGGGGCTGCCTTGCTAACTTCATATAAAGTTAATAAAGCACCCATAAAAACAAAGAAATATGCGAACGACAAAAATAATTTATTCACAACTAATTAGCGACAAATTAACGGCAAAATATTAACAATTAAAAAAATATATTATTACATATTTAAGGGGGCTGCCTTGCTAACTTCATATAAAGTTAGCAAAGCAGCCGAAAAAACAAAAAATTATCAAACGACAAAATTAATTTATTCACAACTAATTAGCGACAAATTAAAGGCAAAATATTAACAATTAAAAAATATATTATCACATATTTAAGGGGGCTGCCTTGCTAACTTCATATGAAGTTAACAAAATACCCATAAAAACAAAGAAATATGCGAACGACAAATTTAATTTATTCACAACTAATTAGCGACAAATTAACGGCAAAATATTAACAATTAAAAAAATATATTATCACGAATTTAAGGGGGCTGCCTTGTTAACTTCATATGAAGTTAACAAAGCACCCATAAAAACAAAGAAATATGCGAACGACAAAATTAATTTATTCACAACTAATTAGCGACAAATTAACGGCAAAATATTAACTATTAATTTTTTTTTATCAGATATTTAAGGGGGTGCCTTGCTAACTTCATATGAAGTTAGCAAAGCCCCCGTAAAAACAAAGAAATATTCGAACGACAAAATTAATTTTTTCACAACTAATTATAATTTCTCGTTATAACGAGAAATTAACGGCAAATTATGCATCTAATCGCTTTTTGATTAGCGATGGATGCTTTGCTAACTTCATGTATTATAGTTGTATGTATCGCTGTGTACCTTGTAATATTTTTTTTTTTGCATACAAGAGGCATTTTAATATAAGTATAATTTGATGGGAGTGTTAATTTTTTTAGTTTAATGAAAGTTAGTCAAAGCTACAACAATATTACCAAAAACATAATTTGTAATGTTTTTTTTACTTAATAGGATTTTCGATCTCAAACTATAAACAATGGATGATAGAAAAAGAAAAAGAAATTCCACTTTTTACAAGAAAGTAAGAACAAAGACTGAGAAATCTTTAAATGTTTGTGACGCTATTGACATTTTAAATGTGAGTAATTCCCCAGAATTAAAAAATCCAAATTCGCCGAAAACAAATAAAACAGAAAATGAATCAGTTTCGAATTTAGAGCTTGTCGATAAGGATGTTTTTAATCCTAATGCCACAGAAGCTTTTGACTTATCGTCGCCGGATTCACTGGAGTTTATCTCTGATGAAGATACACAGCTTTTAACTAACCGGCGTTTCCCAGCTGACAACCGTATGAATCCTGTTTCAAATATAAACGTTGTTCTTGCAAATTGGGCAGTAGATGAAAACATATCTCAGTCATCTTTAAACAAACTGTTGCAAATTTTAAAACCTTACCATGAAACCTTACCAACAGATGCTCGAACGCTTCTGAAAACACCGCGGCAAGTTGAATTAAGGGAAGTGCCTCCTGGAAAATACTACCATTTCGGTTTAGAAAAAGCTGTGCAAAAACTAACTTTAGGGTGTAATTGTTCATCTTTTGATAGAATTGAAGTACTTTTGAACGTTGACGGGCTCCCTATTTCTAAAAGCTCTAATAGTGAGCTATATCCCATTTTGGCGGCACTTTTTTCTTGTGAACAACGTTCTGTAACCACTGTGGGTATTTACCAAGGTTATGGGAAACCTTCATCAGCTAATGATTTTTTGGAGGACCTCGTCAGAGAGGCAATTCAGTTAATTAATAATGGTAATTAACGGTGTTTTGTTACAATTTCGCATAAAAGCGTTTATATGTGATGCACCCGCTAAATCCTTTGTTAAGTACATTAAAGGACATACTGGTTATAATTCATGCACGAAATGTTTTCAAGAAGGAGAGTATTGTGACACAGTTTATTTTCCTGACTTAAATTTTACACTTCGAACAGATAACGACTTTGTTTTACAAAAACAAGAAGAACACCATACTGGGCTAAGCTTGCTGTGCAATATTCCAAAATTTGGCATGGTAACTGGTTTCCCCTTGGATTACATGCATTTAATTTGCCTAGGCGTAACAAAAAAGCTTCTGACTCTTTGGACATCTGGAAAGCCTCCCAATCGGCTGAGCGGGCGGCAACTAAATAATCTTTCAAAGTTGCTTTGCTCTCAAAAAAATAACATTCCAACTGAATTCGTCAGGAAACCGAGAAGTTTAAATGAACTTAAAAGGTTTAATTAAGGCTGTAGAATTTAGACAAATTTTATTCTACACTGGCCCTGTGGTTTTAAAAGATGTACTTGGCAAAAAGATGTATCAAAACTTTCTCTCTTTGCATATTGAATGTGTTATTCTGGCTACTCCTAATGCTGGTTCAGACCTTATTGATTATGCCGAAAAAATCCTTAAGTTTTTTGTCAAAACTTTTATGGAACTGTATGGAGTTGAATTTGTATCACATAATATTCATAATGTCATACATTTAACCGACGACGTACGAGCATTTGGAAATTTAGATACCTTCAGCGCTTTTCCTTTTGAAAATTACATGAAATTATTGAAACGAAGCATTAGAAAGTGTGATCAGCCTCTTACACAAATTGTGAAAAGATTTGCTGAATTCGATCATTTGCATTCAGAAAAACAAAATGGAGATTGCTCTGCCAACAGCCGTGCCAAAGGTGTTCTTTCAGAGCATGATAATGGACCCTTAATGCCTGATTGCTACCCTCCACAATATTTAAAATTTTCACAAAGAGGTTTTTTAATTACAACTACACATCCAAACAACGTTTGTCGTTTAAAAAACGGTTATTTAATAGTAGTCAAGAATTTTGCTACAACTTCGAAAGGCGTCGTGGTGCTGGGACGAAAATTTCGTGAAATCGACGACTTCTACATGAAACCTTTTAAATCTTCAAATCTTGGTATATACAAAGCTACAGACTATTATGACGACCTACATTTCTGGCATGAAACCTTTTAAATCTTCAAATCTTGGTATATACAAAGCTACAGACTATTATGACGACCTACATTTCTGGCCAATAGCCCAAATTGAAATAAAATACGTGCCACTAAAATATCAGAACTTTTTTATCTTGTTCCCGCTTTTGCATTAATTTTTTGTAAGTGTAGGAATTACTTTATTTTATAAATAACATGTAGATAATTGTATTTTAGGTTTTCATAATGTGGGTAATTGCAAAGTTTTTCGACGAAAATACGGTAGAGGCAGTACCTGAAAAATGGTTCACTGCAGCTACAACTTGCTGTTGGCCGCCATATAGTGGCAATAGGTTAAAAAAGGCCATATTAACATGTGAGGAGCCTCAGAGCAATTGGCAACCGAACAAAGCCCGACTGTTAACTAAAATTCCTTTAGGTAAATCTAAGCATAAAATCAACCTTTTTACGCCTGTCCTATAATGTTATGCTTAAACTGTTTTGCAGAAAATTATAACGAGGCACTTGAAAAAGCAATAATGGCACAAAGCACATCCGATGTCGAAACACCTAATGTATTACCGCACAAAAGAAGAATTACTAAAAATAAACGCTATGAAAATGACAGTACTTCCTCAAACTCTAATAATGATGGAGAAGAGAGTGATTTAGAGGATTTTCCAGATTATCATAAGAGTAAATTATTTGATTTTATTTTAATGTCTTTATATACGTATACATAACTTTCAGGTAATAAAAGTGAAAAAAACATTAAAAAGGGGTCAGTTGTACAACAAAAAGGTTGTAAGTCACTAAACAATATTAAGCCTCTTGATCAAAAACCATCTGATACAGGTATGAGCCTTTTAAATAAGTAGTTTTTAAATATTTTTATTTTTAAAATATATATTTTTATTCATAAACGTTTCCGTTTTCTAGGTTTGGCTTCGCACTTAAGCAGGGTGCGTGATAGTGAGCTGCGAGAGTTAAGCAGTATGCCTGATAGTAACCCGCGTGATTACATGGCCACTAAAGATTGTCAATTAGATATTGGAACCAATTATCGGAGGAGGTCACTAAGTGCAGGTATAAACTTCTATATAAATAATTAATGGTGTAATAATATTACGTCTCCCGTATTAAAAAAAAATACTTTGTAGATTCTACTCCCATCGGGTGCATTGAGTCTTTCACATCAAATACAGATCAGGATATGTTCTTAGATTTGTCCGGTAAAAACTCATTGAAAGGTTTGTTTGCTAATAGCTAACAGTAAAAATTTCTTTTAATTCTAGATTCAACTTTAAGAAGCCAAGGTCACCAAGACTGCAAAAATTGCGGCAAGCAAAAGTGATTTAAAATAATAATAGTAATTAAAATCTAACAATAACTTTTCTTCAGATATCAGATGGAAAAAAAATATTTATCTATTAAATAATTTGGATACCAAGGTGGAAGAGTTGACAGTAACTTTAAATATTATAAAAAGAAATATGCCCAGGCAAGAGAAAAAGCAAGCTGTCTCCTTGCCTGAAATATATTCAAATTTTCCGTTACAAACAGCAGAAAAACTGGATGAACTTGAAAAGTTCTTACAAATAGAGGATAATATGGTAAACTTTGTAAGATATCATATTGGGTATTTTGTGTGGAATTTATCTAAGTTTTTATTTTAGGTAAATTATTTGGCTTCAGTCGGAGGAGACACTTCATACGAAATAATAAAAAGATGTATGAGCCGCACATTATCAAATCAAGTCGCGATGTCTTACAATTGGGAAGGAATACGCAACAAGAAAAACTTTCAAGTATTACGAATGTGCAAGGCTTTGCAAGGTAATAGTATATTATAATGCGAGACGGAAAGTGTTGTATTAGTAGTCGAGAGATTAGATAGTTTATCAAGACGCGTAGCGTCGAGATAAACTAAATCTCGGGACAGTAATGAAATTTCCGTCGAGTATTGTATACTATTTTATTTTCAACCATATATGTAATGTTGGCATTGCTGTCTTTTTAAAATCGAAAAAGTCACTTTTCCTGCCTAGGCAGGCAAAGCATTTACTTTTCCTGCCTAGGCAGAAAAAGTGGCAGCAGTTTCAGTTTCTTTCATCTTATTCTTTTAAATTTTAAGGTATTCGTTACTTAAAATCAATAAACTTACCTTCTCAACTTATTTAAATGCATTAAAAATTATTATTTCACTACAAAAATAACCACAATGTTTGATTCTTAGAAAAAGAATTAATTAGATCGGCAACCCAGTTTGCACCATGGGTTAGTAACAAAGTAATTAAAATAATATGTTTTTCTACTCCCTTATAGTAAACGCTCTATTACGAACTAGATTTCTCGCATGTAAACACATCATTAAAGAGACCTGTTATGTTATAAAAAAGTTACTAACACGTAATGATAGATATTACGTAACAGTTTTAGGGACTTTATATATATATTACGTAACAGTTTTAGGGACTTTATATATATTACGTAACAGTTTTAGGGACTTTCTTCTGAATCGAAGGTTAGGTTGGTAACAAATGTTATTTATGACATTTGAATTTACTAAAAATTTATAGTTTTCAATCTATTCTTTTAGCTCGTAAAAAAAGTATAGTACATAACTCCAGTTGTAAGTAGCTATAACACACTTGTTGGATTGCTAAACTCGCCTGCGACTCGTGCGCAAATTTCCAACTCGTGTGTTATATCTTACTTACAACTATCGTTATATAACGATACATATGTAATACTATTAAAAACATAATTTAAATTTTTCGCAACAAAAATTATTGAAAATAAAAGTATTTACTTGCTTTCTTTTTTACACTAATTATTTATTTTAATTACAGAGGCAGTATTAAAAAACCTACACAACCCAACAGAAAAACAAACAGAAAAGGATATAAAAACGTGGCTGAAGCACGCCAAAGAAAGATTTGAGAAAAGCCAAAAGAATTAACTTCTATAGAAATTTATTTTATTTTTGTTAAATTCAAATTATTTTGTCATTAAAATACCGTATTTTATGACTGCATTTTTTTTTAGATCTAAATCAGTAAGTACTTTTAAGTATATATATATTCTACACAGGGCCGGATTTAACCTTAGCGCCGTCCTTGGACACTGAAAAATGCTTTTGCTATCTTACCCAATCTTCAATCAACGATTAAATATATTTTTTTATTTTTAAGAAAGTGCATTGATTAAATTGTCCTAACTATTAATTTAAAAAAATGCAAAAATTAAGATTTACAAAATTTCAATTTTCTAAATAATGCATTTATTAAGATTCTTTCTCCACCCCTGAAAATTTTCCGCCCTAGGCACTAGCCCTGAGTGACCCTATAGGGGCACTCGGGGCTATAAATCCAGTGCTGATACTACAGAACTTTACAGTACACTGCTACACTACACTCAACATTACACAACACGATACTACACAGTGTAGTCTACACTACAGTGAACTACTCGACACTACACTACAGTGCACTAAATACAGTAATAACATATATATATATATATATATAATATATATATATATATATATTATATATATATATATATATATATATATATATATATATAATATATTATATATATATATATATATATATAATCTGCACAAGCTGAGATCCGTTTATGATATTTTTCGTTCAAGATGAGATCCGTTTGGAAAGTCGGGATCCGAATTCGGATCTCATCTTGCATCGTGTGTATATTTTTGTCAGAGTGATCAATGGTGTTAAATATGATTGTTTAGCAATTTTTGTCTGGATCTCATTTTTCACATTTTTTTCCTTTCTTATATAAATTTACTTTAAGCGTTTCATGCAAGGTGGCGCTCCAAAACATTTTGCAGCAATGATAAATAAAGCATAAGCTGAGATCCTATCAAAGTGGCAACGTTGTGCCGCAGATGCTATAAAATGGGCGAGTAAAGACTCGTTTCTTTTTTTTTCTGTTAAACATCTCTAACTCTGTGCTTCGTTGTAAAAGGTAAGTGTTTAATTTAATATTGGATTAGCATAACTTCTAAATTGTAAATATTTTTTATTTTTGAAAGTGAATTTAATTTAATAATAAATAATAATACATATGCTTAAATAAAATAAGTTTACAAGTTTATTAGTTTATTTGTATTTAGTAATATTTTTAAACCACAGTCCTTTTTTTAATCTTTAAAAATAACCTAATTGTAATTTAAAAATCCATTAATTATTAGGAAAAAGTTGTGACGAGTTTTTACGTGTTTTTTTATTTGTTTCTTCCTGCATTGGCCATTAATTATTTGCCGTGTACCGAGAATGTGGATCAACGACATATGGACCAAGCAAGGGAAATTATTCAAGATGCAACACCGGCAGGGTACATCTTGGGTGAGGTTGAAGCAATGACAACGACGGGAAGAAACCCCCATCGGTGGATTGCCACATTTACTCGAGATAACAACGAATATGAAACTGGTTGTCAGTATATTTCTGCTGTGCAAAGAGAATTTAAAAGGAAATGTCCCCAAGGAGCTGAAATAAGATGTGTGCAAGTAAAAAGTAATCCAAATGAGCGAGGTATTAAAGTGGAATTTTTAGTAAATTGTTTCTGTACAAACATTCCAAGAAGACGAAGGCGATCCTTGTGGGCCCAATGTCATGCCAGAGGGTATACACGGGAACCTGCATTGTGTAATTTTTAAATTCAATTTTATATTTTTAACCAATTTTTAATGTACCCATTTTAATGTTTTTAAATTTGTTGTAATAATTGAATCGGTGAGAAAAAGAACAGTACATGTCCAAAAATATTATTTTGACAACTCATTTTCTAAAATCAATTTAAAAGTTTAAAATGCATTTTTGTGATAAGATATCAATCATTTTACAAAATATGATTATTATATTTTATAAAATAATTGAAATATTCCCACAAAAATATATTTTGAACTATAAAACGTATTTTATGAAATAATTTGTCAAAATTTTAGCTTTTGGACTTCTTCCGTTTTATAGTTCAACATATATTTTTGTGGGAATATTTCAATTATTTTATAAAATATAATAATCATATTTTGTAAAATGATTTATATTTTCCCACAAAAATGCATTTTAAACTTTTAAATTGATTTTAGAAAATGAGTTGTTAAAATAAAATTTTTCGACTTGTACTGTTCTTATTCTCACCGATTCAAATATTATAATAATTTGTAATAATTATTATCAACACTTCCATGTTTTGTAATATTTTTTACAACGAAGTTAATAAACATGTTTAACAGAAATTTTTGTTTTTTTTTATCGTAAATTAAACAAATTACAGTTACAATTTGTAGCAGTAAAATAAATAAATAAAAATATATTTTATTGTTTATTAAAAAATAATATTATTAAAAAACATTTTTATAAGATTCATACTTCCACATCGTCATGATACATGCAATAATATTAAAACCATTCCCCACCTCAAAATCTTAATAATATTCTCTTATCTAATTCAATTATAAGACTAATTTTTGTGTTATACTAACAAAGGCTGTTTGTAATTGTCTTAGAATAAATTCATCAATCAAGTTTTTCTGACACCCCTGCATTATACTTACCAAACAAAACAATTTTTTTGTATAAATTTTAGGTTAAAAAAAATTCAAGAACAAATAGGTTTAAGCATATTTTATTAAAAAGAAATATTTATATAAAATAATATATTTATATAAAAAAATAATAACATATAGGTATTTATATGGTGACCATATTTAAGTATTACAAAATAAAAACTTAATTTAAATATTATTACATAAAAATATAAAAATGACAATATTAAAAAAAAAATAATATTATTTATATTATTATTAATAGTACATAAAAATATAAAACTGAAAATATTAGAAAAGACAATATTATTCGAAAATATATTATATTTAAACAAACACCAGTAAATAAACAGTTTGCTTAAATAAACAATTATTCATTAAAAAATTAAATTATTTATTAAAAATTTAGGCGCGAAAGGTTTATCGGACCGATAGTTACAGAGAAGTCTGGCCGATATCTTGTTTAACATAACGTGCTTAAATTAACAAACAAAAAATGCAAAACACATTTTATTTTTTAATAAGTTTAATATTGAAGTATTTTAAATTAAAAAAGGCAAAACTTTATAAAACACAACTAGGATACCAAAACTCAAAACCCCCAAAGGATTTTAAAAAGTTTGCTCGACTTTAAAAGCTATGGCCGTTTAAAGTTTGTCTCGTTGGCGTACCTAATCTGTATTACTTTGCCATTAATATTTATTTAAATGTTTTTTTAAGGAAAATTATAATTGATGATCAAATGCTAAATTTTTATAACCAATAAAACATCCAGAAAAGTCGCATTTATTAATATTTTACATAAAAATTTTACGTTTTATCGTATTTTTATATGGTTATATGAAAAATATGACTTATTTTGTAAAAATAATCATTTAATTAACAGCAAATAATTCCTTTTAAAAATAATTTAAAAATATTTTCAAAATAATAACAATCAATTTAAATATTAAATTTTATTTTAAATAAAAAGTTTTGAATTCAATAAGGTAAACAAATTCACACGAACTATTGCAACTAAAACGGTAAATCAAGTATTTAAGCATAATAGTAGAGTGTTAATATAAATAATATTTTTAAATATATAAGAATATTTTTATAAATGATTTTTTTGGGTAGTTTTCTAGTAGAATTCTAATATTATATTATAAATATCTATTTTCCATTTTAAATATTTTTTTATTTTAGTTTATATTTCTAACAAAGGTTAATATTATATGATATTAAATCACATTTGGTAAAAAATTAAATCTAAATCAGTTTTGCCTTAATTACTTCATTTTTTTGACAGGGTCAGGGCTTAAAATATCACTTATGCTTTCTCCAGGAATATTGCTTGGGTCATTTTGTAGAACAACAACATTTTCCATGTAAACATCAAGGATACCCAGTGTATTTAACATCTTTAAACCTAGTAGAGTAACCACTTCTCTGGCAGATTTTGGATTTATTCCCTCCCCAAAACAAAGAACTGTTGGATTGATCGACATAGATAACAAAGTATAGGATTTTTCGTTTTTTTAATTTTTCTATGTCAAATCCAAATAATTTACTTCAAATTGTTTGGAATTTGCGAATTCCAATAAAGTTGTTTGCCGTTTGACGTTCTTGTATTTTTGAATAAAAATAAAACAAAAATTATATTACTTATTGGTGAAAGGCGAAGTATGTTAATAAAGATTACGCGAACGAGTCATTCAAATGGTCATAACTTTTTGGTCTACAAAGATACCATCAACCCATCCAGACCGCATCCAGGTAATTTTTAATGTACATGTACATGTACATGAAATTGTGTAATTAAGCAGTACAAAAAAATACTTTTTTTATTTTTGAAACTTTATATTTTTTGTTTTACACTCTGATCCTCCAGTTTTACTGCAGCGATTATTTGCAAAATCTTCAGATGTATACATCCAACCCAATTATGGTTGGTATGGCGTCGACTTTTGCTTACGGTTTCACGAATAGGGTTTTTAAATCAATTTAATTTCTACACAGGGACTTTACCCAGATAACATTCGTGAATGCACATTAAACTCACACCGGGCGCACGCCGTGAATCTTCAAAATTGAATGCATCGTGAATTCACCGTGAGTTCTCAGATAACATTTGTAATGCACATTTAATTCACATAGGGCGCACGCCGTGAATCTTTAAAAATGAATTCATCGTGAATTCACTGTGAGTTCCCAGATAATATTCTTAATGCACATATAATTCATGCCGGGCGCACGCCCTGAATCTTTAAAAATGAATGCATTGTGAATTCACTGTGAGTTTCCAAATTACATTCGTATATGCACATTAAACTCCTACCGGGCGCACGCCGTGAATCTTCAAAATTGAATGCATCGTGAATTCACCGTGAGTTCACAGATAACATTTGTAATGCACATTTAATTCACATAGGGCGCACGCCGTGAATCTTTA